CAACAACCTCTTAACCCTTTCAAAAAAAAAGGGAAAAAAAAGAGGATAGTCTCCAAACGATGTCTTTACTAATAAAGTGTTGGCTGGCACACAACGGTCGAGAAGTATTCCAACATGAACCTCAGAAAATAGATCAAGCCTAATCCCCAATACGAATGTAAATAGTCTCGAACTACTGAAAAGCTAACTGAGCAACAATGAAATAAATGCTGTATACGATCCGCTACTGTTCTCAGCTTGCTTCCGCATATATATCTGGTCTAATACTATCACGCCCTTCTCTGGTGAGAAAGTAAGAAAACAAGACGGTCCTTAGAATGGACAACAGATGCTCGGAGAGAAAAGAGAAGAAATATAGAAGAAACATGATTAACGAGTGAGAAGCTATATGCATAAGCATGAAATGAATAAGCCATGTGTAAACAATAAAAACAAATAATAAATACAGCATTAGCATAAAGGTGAAATAATAGTAAGTACTATGTCACTCTATTCAATATTTAGTATGTTTTTTGGAATGCAAGGAGCAGACAAGGTTCTAAATGACGGCCAACATGTCAGCCATAGTCTAGGCAAAATTGTGCCCCGAAAATAAATTGTTCCACTAACTCATTCGCTTCCTATGTTGCACGGATATGGACACAGGCACGGACACGGACATGGGTGCGGAAACGGGACACGGAAAAATTGTAAAAGTTAGGATACGAGGACATGGGCTCTTTTGCTTTAAATAAAAGCGATACTGTACTCGAATAGAGGCTCCTGCGCTATACGGCTTCACTTTACTACGCCCAAGCTCTTGCTGGAAGCGAAGGACAAAGTCTGTAAGGAGGAGGTCTTTCTAACCGGAGAGTCGTAAGCCAAGGAACTAGTCGAACACGACATCCATGACACTCGTTCTTCTCTAAAGGAAGCACTTCGTTCCACTAACTGAAGGAAACCTGAGGCGACCGGAGGGAGGGTTACTAGTTCTGTCCTATATACATACATATTAAAATTAATAATCTACATGAGACTGATATTATTTTTCATTCACATGTTATGAGAACTAAAATTCTTATATCATTTTTATGTTTCCTTTATCGAGTAGATTATGAATAAAATAAACTGCTTGTTCTTTCACTAGATACCCAAACGACCCTTTAAAAGCATACTTATGAACGAGGTATTTGCTAAAACAAACCTGTCTTGCGTCCATTGAGTTGCACAATTTGAGTTGAAGTGTATAATACATATTCAAGAAGTGTATCACAAGTATTGTGAACTAAAACATGTGTTACATAATTGAGTATATGTCTGAAAATGAATGTATATATTCAAGAAGTGACGCAGATGCTGATATGAACATGGATACAGGAGCCTAGATAAAGTGTCCAGGTAACCTAGTTCACTTCCTTTCTAGGGAAAAATCGATAGAACGTTTGCCTACAAATTTCGACGTCAGATTGAGGTTCCAAAGAAATAGACTGAGCATTCACTTCCTTGTTCTATCTCACCCTTTTTATGTCTTCTCTCCCTTGCTCACTTTCTCTTGCAATTGAGAAGCAAATTTCTAGAATTGGTTAGCGATCTTAAACGTCAAATGTTATTTACGTTTTATATGTTTAGACCAGTGTTGTCAATGCACGAGGCGCAATGCTAAGCGCAAAGTATCTTTACGCGCACATGCGCAAGACGCAACGCGATGCACGCGCCCGAGTGATGCGAGGCGCACACCGCACAAATAATATTTCAATATATGTAATCAAGCGTGAAAGAACATGTTTTTAGAATTTACATGAAAAATATCATGTTTCAATATATGTAATCAAGCGTGAAAGAACATGTTTTTAGAATTTACATGAAAAATATCATGATAAATAATATCTTACTACAAAATCACCATGTTTTTAGAATTTACATGAAAAATATCATGATAAATAATATCTTACTACAAAATCACAATATATTGCCTTAATTTCTAATGCTAACACCCAACATAGTAGCAAATGTCATAAATTTTCAAATTAAATGTTAAATCAAGACTAATATCCAAACAAAGGATTAGTAATGGTCCTCAATTGAAGATTATTAAAAAGGCCCAATGGATTTATTTTGCTTTTTGGGATATGGAATATCAAGTATAAAGACTCGATTGAAATGTTAATAAAAAAAATTATATGAGGAAATGTACTACATGCATCCTACACAAAGTACGGATGTACGCGAGTAGCAAAAGACGTTGCTGCATCAGATGTGGGGCGCTTCACCACCGTCCCGCATTGTAAGGCGCATGAGGCGCAATGAGGCGCGCGCCTTTGAAAACACTGGTTTAGACTATGGATTTTATTACGTTTAGATTGCATTTAGTATATTATATTACATATGCACACCATTCAATATAGCAATATAACATTTAATACATATCCCTGATATTTCCCTAATTTTCATATTCGGACATGTTCCTGACATCCGACATTTAAAACCTTTGCGAACGGACAACTATGACCAAGGCAAGGTCATATACAAACCCCTTTTGCCCACGTCATTCAGTTTATTAAGAAATGTACATGATATGTTGTGCACTAGGTCTAGGGAATTTCAATTATTGTAAATAACAATTTGGTTCGCATGTGTAATCAACTTGAAGTCAGACTAAGCCGTCCACTACATCCCAGATTGATCATCTCCTCCTACGACGCATACTCGAAATACCATAGAACTATGCAATGAACAATCTCAGGCTTGTATCCATCGTCCTTATGAGCATGTAACCATACGAGCTCAATGTACTTGAGTGACCTCCTGCTTCCCACGGGGTTGTTGGTCATACTTCACATGACTCAGGACAATTCCATCAATCATCAGATAACAGTTATTATCATGTCATAGCTCAAACTCCTCTTCATGTCATGCAGGCTTGACACCTGCAATTCGTCACCATGTACATTTCAAGTAGCAAACCTATCATGCAGTGTTTTAAATATCGGCCGCCGTTTAAGCTTATTGGGTCAAGTTTGAAAAACCCGACTCGAAAATCAGGTGTCTACAATTGGTTAGTGATCCTAACATCAATAAGTTATGTACTTTTTTATATGTTTAGACAATATAATTATCAAGTATGTGAAGATTCCATTTATGATATTATATCAACCTATCCGATATGGCAATCTGATATTTTTTTCATGTCCCCCGATATATCCCCGATTTTCGCTATCCGACATGAATTTTGGCCGACCGACATGAACCCGACATCCTACATTTAAAACATTGCTATCATGTGATTTAAATTCAGTCACATTATCTAGTACCAAGGTGTCACAACAACAATCATGTACTTCATGTCCGGTTTTCAGGTAACCATGCTAAGTATGTTACACATCATTATCTGTCATCATGAGCATCTGATAGTCTACATTATCCCGAAATAATTAAACAAGTGTGTACATGTGTATGGATCATAGCAGAGCATCAAAGTACAATCAACGGTCTGCCAAAACGAAATGGATCCAGTTCAGGACAGTCGGCAGTCTTCGCCTGTTCTACTGACCGTCAATGGGTCTGATCAGCGGTATTAGGTTGGGCCGGCCTACCATTGACGGGTCTAGTCGACGATCATGACCTGATTCAGGGGTTGGGTGACTTTTGCCCCTCTCGTTGCATCGTCATGATCGCCGTTCATATCCAAGTTAGGGTTTTGCATGTAGATTCGTGTTTTTCACATAAGAATGGTGAGGATCTAACATCGTTTATTTTGTAGAATACAAAAAATATGGATCTTTTACAAACCCTGATAAATTAAAACCCTTTTTTTTGGAATCCTACCCTAGTTAATAGTTATTTACACTGTTTTCATGCAAGATCTGCAATTTATCAATAGAAAACATATAACAAAAAAATCATGTTAAAGATCATGGATGGTATTTGTGATGAATCAACAATTGAATTAAAACGAAGATGATAAACATGCAAGAAATGATGGAGAAAGATGAATCAACGATGGAATCAAGGAGGAGGATAAACATGCTAGAAATGATAGGGAAAAAAGGAACATGAGCAAGACACCTGCCTTTTGACAGAATCTCCACCGGAGTGAATGCCCTAAGTCTCCTCCAGATCAGCCCAAATATCAATAAACCCTACTTCCTACAGATTGGGCCAACAGGACCTACTAAGGACCCATTTTTCGAGTGTCAGAAAAATAAAATAAAATACAGTCGGATTTGTTTCCAAAAGTTAGAAAACTTTTGTGAAAGCCAAAAGGCTAATTCACAAGTTTACATGCCCAGAAAAATTGTGGAAGTATTCATTTGCATAAAAATACATTTTTGAATACCGTTTCCAGTTCAGCCAAATATGCATAGCATTTATTCACCATATTTATACAAGTATACTTAGTAATATACCGTACCCAGATCAGAGGACTCACAGATATGATAACAGTTAACAGATGACATGGCCCTTAACTGAATGGACTAATAATTTGTAGCCGAACACAAAAATTTGGGATAAAAGAAAATCTATCCCAGTTTAAAATTTGCAAAGCAGAGTATATGCACGATATATATCCCAATTTTTGGGATAGAGTCGATACGATGTAAACTAAAATTTGCACAACTTGCAAATTTGCGTCATACCACTTTTATCCCAAAAATTTGCAGAACTTGTAATTTGTGGGTAACATTTTTTGGTCCTGCATCAATTTAACTACTTACAGAAATCAATCCCAGAGTTCTCTTATATAGGCAGGGTCCTTGGTCCATGTTTCACTCAAAACACATTCCACATAAACAAAACTTGATGTAATGGGAAAAAACATTCCAGGAATAAATAATTAAAACCAACAAGGTACTTTCTACAGAGAAGAGACCGTCAAATCAGGAAGGCTCATGTCATAGCAAACCTTTTGTCTTGAATAAATTTACCTAATTTCAGTTCGTAGGTAATAATATGCGTTTGAAAATCAGTTCATGATCTCAATTACCTCAACAATTTGGCATGCTCTTCAGCAGCTTTTGCTTCAAATGCATGTTCTTTGGTCTGAGAGAAAAGCTTTTGAGCATCCTCAATAAGCCTTATCCGTGGACCCTGTAGGGCAGATCCTCTGGTAGCCATAGGTTTCCTTTCTAATTCCCATGACTCCTCCAACAAGAGGTAAGCAACGTCCTAAAAAATCCATTAAGACAAAATCAAAAGTGTGTTTGTGCAATAAAAGTAACATAATGAAAACTCTACAAAGGCATGTTAATTTATTCCTGGTACCTAATACGATATAAATTTCATTGAGAAAAGAGTCCTGTATCACATAGATTTTTCTAATGGCTTGCAAAAGCACCAAGAAAGTAAAGAAAGGTAAAGAAAGACAAAGACTATTTCAAATTTAGAATTACTCAACAAATAGTTGTTCAGAATCTAACTTTTTATCCACAAGATTTTCCATCATTGTCGATAAAATTGCATATCTCACCAGAACAATGATACACCTTCAAATTTGGAATATGATGAGTTCTATCCCCTAATTTGATGCATGCTGAAGGCGCAAGGTTACTCACAACGGTATCTGACAAGCTCAACAAGTGTTCTAATAACAATCAACTCATATGTCTGCAATGGTTTGGGTCGCTATACGGACACTGCTTTTCCCTTTCAGCTTCTTTAAGGGCCCTTTGAACTTCTTTAAGTTCCCTTTTCCCTGTCGACTCAGAACGACGCAATCCCTTTTCTTCCTCAATGCAGCACATTCTGGTCTAGCCATAGACTTACAGCTCCTAGAACTACATAGTTTCAGTCCTAGCTGATGCACATTAATGACTGAGCCCCTGTAAACATGTAAAAAGTGAAAACTCTCTTAAACCAATGTTTTAGAAAGGCTAGGCGTTTCTAAGCTCCTAGGAGGACGCTTAAGCGGCATGTAAGCGTTTTTAGCCTCAAGTAAGAAAATACTATTTTGAAAGATTTAATTTCCTATTATCACCATTTATCTAAGATGGACCTGGATATAGAGTTTTGATCTGATCCATATTGACTTGGATCATTCTCTTCATCCCTCACTATGCCTAAGCAAGCAATATATCCCTTTCTAACATGGTGCAACATCCGGATAAGTGGCCCGTGATAGTCTAGGTGCTCCCACAACCTAGGAGGGTGGTCTAACTACTGCTTAGGCTTAGCGGATGCCCAGACCGCTTTTAAAACATTGTCTTAAAAATTTACCTTATGTTATCCTTGGTTGGAAATATGAAGCAACCTATGACCAATTACCAATGCATTCATTCTTAGACCAAGTTTTTAAAGGTTTTGCTAATCCATCTCAAACATTTTCATTTCAGCCATATGCATTTTCTGGATATGTTGGTTGTTAACTATGCTGCCTCAATACTCCTTTCGTAAAATAAAAAAATAGTTAAAAAAAAGTATAAGAGGAATTTTCTCCCTTAGCAAAGTGATTATGGGACTATTCTACCTACTCATTCGCCCAAGGAAAAAATAAAGAAAAACAAGAAAAACAACTGTTCCATAAAAACGCCTGGCAACCACCTCTAACTTGTCCTTCAGTTCCATAACATGTTTGACAAATCACAAAAACCGTGAAAAGTAAACATTAAAACCACAAAACAGACAGATAGAATCCAGGATAGAAACCAGACCTGTTCCAACATAAAATATAAAATATACTTTTCAACATCAAATATGTCCCGCACATGGCCACCAATTTGCACACGCCAGTGTCAGATACTCGTTCAACACGAAGAGAAGAGGCCCGGTGCATGTTGGTGCCAAATACCTCATAAGACATCTCTTAACGAAAAGAAAGTTTGATATAAAACCTTAGAGATAAGCTGGGTTAGTAGTAGGGCTATTAACTAGTCATTAATTTAAGGCTGTGTAACAAGCTGCCTAATACTCATGAAGTAGGAAAGAGGATAGAGTGTGGCTTGCCATACAGAATCACATTCATCACTGCAGATAAATAAGCTAAAGGAGCCAAGTGGAATCCCTTGATAAAATCAGGGCAAAAGATCAAATACTTACTACATATGCATCAAGTGATCTCAAACTGTGAATATAACTTTTATAGCCAAAAATTTTAAGCAGTTCCTGTATGTTCATCATGCAATTATCGGGTTTTTGAGCCTCCAAATGTTTCCTAATTTTATGCAAGCTAGATTTTTATCTCACGTTTAACTAGTAAAGGTAATCCTTCTCAATCAAATTCGTGGGTCCTTTCTCAGCATCTGCCGCTAATTTTCTATCACTTACCAATCCACAGGAGCCCAAGTAATCAACAAAAAGAAAGGAAAACCAGTGGACCATTTCAATTTCAACCGAGAAAGTCTAAGGGCAGTCACGAGTGCCGGATTATCCTTCGACACTCGCCCTAAATCAATAAAGGAAAGGGTTAGGTGTAGGTTTGAGGTTGTTTTAGGGACACGTGTCCACAGCGCAAGTGAGAGCCACCACTCCCATCTGTAGCTAGAATTCCTCATTTCAACCACATCAACAGGAAAAATTAAATCAGATCACAAACAGGAATGAAAAGGACAAAAGTAAATAATCTATTACCGCAAGAAAATGCTCAAGAAAATCAGCCTACCTGGGGACGGCCAGTTGATAGGAAAAAATCCTCTAGGGATTTACGATCATGATGCCTTCAAAAAATAAGAATCAAAAATTAATTATGGGATGTTCACATAGCGTTAAAATATTAAAAAATGCGGTGGAATGTACAATCAGATCTACAGAGTACCTTATGCATACCTTGCATACGTAATAAACAAATCACGAGCTAGAGGTCTAGCATTTATTGTTCCAAAAAAATCAATTGGTTGCTTCTGCAATCACATATAATGTACAGTAAGGCACCTATAAAGATCTGTTGGATTTAAGAAGAAAAAGCATGGTCTGACATGTGTCTGCTACATGAATAAGTTTAAAATGCATGCATGCAAAAATTAGTACCTTTTCCCATATGTGGAAAAGAACCAGATAAACAAGATCAGTATCACCACTTTCAGTTGCCTTTCCCAAAGCGCTGTCTTCCTCCCCAATGCTTAGCAACAAAGGAACCTGATTCATATAAATCAACATTATATGCAGAGCTCACAGTTTGCAAAAGTACTCTTCCAAAGCAAGGACGACTAAAAGGGATATGGTATTGGTTAATTTAGTATTTTAGCTAGCCCTTATAGAGCAAAATAGAAGAAAAGGACTCATGTAGTCAACCCTGAAATATTGGATAAAGATTTATTCTTGTTGTTGTAGATTCTATAGTATTTTCAAAAGCAAAGCCCCCAGTTTGCACTGAAAACTATTGTTTTTAAAAACAATATGGGCGTCCGACTAGGCCTAAGTGGTATCTAGGCTGCCCACTTAACATGGGCCGCTTATGAGGATTCACCCCATCATAAAGTGGTTTACTGCCTGCTTAAGCATAATGATGGGTGAAGAGAAAGGGTCAAGTCAAAATGGATCAGATCAAAAATCTATCCAAGTTCATCTATGATAAAATGGCGTGGATAGGATGTTGAATCTTTGGAAAGAATAAAAATCCGTTCTTGGTGCTAAAAAACGCTTATTTGCCGCTTACGTGCCCACCTAGAATCCTAGGTGCTAGGTCCAGTGCCTAGCACTTTCTATAGCATTGCTAAGAAAATTAGGCATAAGATGTTTGTTTCCGTCGATAGACGCATAAAACAATATTGCGAAAGTCTATTAATCTCTAGGTGGCAATGTTCTAGTAAACTTAAAACATTAATAATTCTTAGTTCCTTCTGAAGCAGACAAAGCACAGAGGGATAGAGCATTGTTTTGTTTCAATTTCTTATTTCTTAGTTTCTTATGCAACTAGTCATATTGAACACTTATTTGAAAAGACTTGCATAAACTTAAATTTTAGTATTCCCTAAGGAAATCTAAGGTCGAGAAACCCATTGTAGGACAACTATGATGGGAATGCTAGGCAGATGTTGATTACCAATTCCTATCTAGTATTTTATATTGTATAAGTCACTATACAGGAGAATTATTGCCTAACTGTATTTATTAAGCTGTTCCATCTGAAATAAATTGTTTCATCAATTCTAACAGAATAGATATTAAATAAGTCCTCATTATCACCACTAAAACATGTACACCTCTGTTCTTGAACACAAGTAATGTTAGATGGGAGTGTGAAAGCTATGAACATTTAAAAAAAGAAAAAGAACATTCTAAGTGTCATTAATGTTGGAAGATTGGTAAAAGTTTCACCTTGAAGCAGCCTAAAATTGTTGAGCATCCATTACATAATACATACTTCTAAATGCAAAGCAAAAACATACGAAGAAGTTCAATACATAAGCATGTGTATATTCTGAACTAGTATGCTAAGTTCCACCAAATTTCAAAGCAACATCTGAGATCAATCTTGACGATCGCACGCAGAGGTACAAACGTACCCAGTCTAAGCACATGTGCATGCTTGTTGCAATGCATGTGGTTCAAGATCAACAAGCACTGCTAACGCGCACACATGCCCATACACAGAGGTACTTAGTCTAAGCCAATTAGCATACCTGTTCAACTGCCCGTGGTTCATGATCAACAAGCATTGCAGCCAACTTTCTTCGTCCGCTCTTATCTGCATGACCAGCAATGGCGGCATATGATATATCTTTGCATAATTTCAGCTGTAAAATAAAAAGTTTTACTTCAGAAATTACATGACAATAAAGCAAAATATCTTATCATTGAAATTACTTATTCAAGAGAATTACCTTCTCCAGAAGGATATCTAAAAGTGCAATATCATCGATAGATGATGATGCTGTTATCTTTGTACAAGCCCAGTGCCTGATAACCACCTCCTAAATAGATTGGAAAAAGAATAACATAAAAAAGAGGATTTTCCTGTGTTTCCCAACATTATCAATGGGGAACTCCTTTTTTGGCTGCGAATAATTTTTCACAAAGCAAACACCACTTTTTCAATTTTCATCTTTCAAATATATTATTAAAAAGAAGTTCTTCTCACTCCTTTACTACTTTCTTGGTTATCCAATTTCATTGAAGACTGATTCTAAAAATCAACTTGATCTTATGTCATGGAGGTCGGGCATGAAGACACAAAGCACCACTAATAAAGCATTTAGAGGAAAGAGTTCTAAACAATTTTCATAGATCAAGACAAGACTCATAATAGGATCCCAAAGGAGATCCTCACCAGATTATAGAAAAGAAAAGTAACATAATAACGCAATTTAGAAGACGTAAGTGTAAGAGCAAATCGAGGATGTACCATTTCCTATCATTGTTATGCTTGCATCAAAGGTGGACATTAACTCATTCCTTTTTTTTTTTCCTCACAAATGAGCCCACTAGGCATGTTAAAAGCACAAGGTTTTAAAGTAAAGTGCTGTCTACAAATGACCCAATATTAATAAATGAGACTACAGGAGGTTGTTTTCAGAAATGAGTAATGAAGCTTCAGAATCGGGAAAAAAAGAAGAAATAAGAGGACAATATAAGACAATGCAAACACATAATACAAAAAAGGATGCTTGAGGTTTTAGTCCGGAAATCGTTGCATTAAAAAAGAGAAATAGTTAGGAGTAATTTGTATTTATAGTCTTATAGATAAAATTACCAACATTTTTTTTTAATAATTTAGGGTCAATCACTGATTGTGAATGTGAAGGAAAAAATCAAAGTACTCTTGAAGTTTAGAGTTTTCCAGAGTACTAAGCATAGTGATTGATGTCGAGAGTGCTTTTGGATCAGTGTGACAATAAAGTCCACCTGAAGGAAAGTAGAAATATTATAAGATAGTTTTAGGAATATAACCTGGTCTACCAGTCAAAATATCAGGCAACTAAGAAACAATTACTTCAACAATGGTCTAGCAAAGGATTGCATCAAGTGCAATCATAAAAATAAAGCACAGCATTAATCGAGGACAATATGAGGAAAAACAGTTGAAGGTTTTCCGAACAAGTGCAGTAAGAATCAGACAGGTGCAGGTTGAATAATACCACCATAGTTGGAGATTATCTAGTACTGGGGATACACCAAAAGGAACATGAATTGGGAAAATATTGAAATCCTAGTTTCATGCAGCCAAGCCATCAATATAGCTGGATAAAGAAAAAGCTCCCATACAAGCAACTCAAAAAAATCGGCATAAAATAAATGCTTGCTTGTTTTTCTTGTTCTCTCCGTAAGATCAACGAACCATGGAACATGGAAAGTTTATACTTGCATATTCTAAGTAGAGTTACACTCTAGTAAATGGAAGTTCGAAGCACATAAGTTCCTAGATGCGAGAGAAAATTTATAAGCTCATATATATATATATATATATATATATATTATATATATATATATATATATATATATAGAGAGAGAGAGAGAGAGAGAGAGATTAATGGGTATCCTTGTCATAGGAGGGGATTTCCTCCTTGACGCCTCTAAAATCACATGATTGAGCGACATTGTGGATGATCCGCTCCGTTGAACTTGATCTACATATTCTAAAACCCCAACACACCAAGTTTGGGGTGAACCCGTCGTCGTTTGACCCTTCATCCACTCATATCAATTTTAACAGTTTTGAATGAATAGAACTTTTCACATGGCTCGATGGAGGGTCAAACGACGACGGATTCACCCCAAACTTGGTGTATTGGGGTTTTAGAATATGTAGATCAAGTTCAACGGAGCGGATCATCCATAATGTCGCTCAATCATGTGATTTTAGAGGCGTCAAGGAGGAAATCCCCTCCTATGACAAGGATACCCATTAATCTCATATATATATATATATATATATATAAGCAAATTGAACTAGTTTCGAAAAATTACTATATTCAAGTTAAGATACTCAGAGATCCTCAAAGCCAGAAGGTGATGGTTCCCATTAGTCAATCTCCCAACAAGAACTGGTGCTGTAAGCAACTGAAATAAACAATATGTGCACATCATTAACGAAATAGATTTTTTTATCATGTTCAACAAGTAAATAAAAGGTGCAGAAGTAAAAGACCTTGTACTGTTGAATGCTAAGGGGAATACCAATCTCATGATTCCGAACAGCATTTAGCACTCGCAATGTTCTGCACATCTCTGGAAAGCGTTCACGTGGGAACTGACTGTCAAAGACAACTTGGTATCATTGCCAACATTACAACGAAAAAAAATATTTCCTCTCCAGAATCAAGTTTATCTAGAGTATGATGCATCATTACACTTGTCATGACCACTTAACCGAAAGCTCACACTGATTTACTGTCTAGTAAACAATGTTATCAAGCGAACTTATAATATTTAAGTATTTGGTCATCATCCTTTGTTTCACATGATGGCCCCTGGCAAAACATACTTGCTCGTCAAGAAAGAATAAATGTGGCAAATTAACATGATTTAATTTGAAAACTGCATCTTCCAATATCATGTTAGGAAATTACTTCACCCTAAAGCATAAGGTGATGGGCTATTTACTCACAATTTATATCAAGTAAATATATTTGCATATTACTAAACATGTAAATACGGGATATCAACTAGTTGTCTTTGCAAAACTAGATAACCAACTCTGTAGCCGAATTAGGTGATGGTAGGTTTAAGAGTAATCACTTTATGCAGACATCAACACACACACCCTTAGCAGATCAAGACATCCAACATCTCCAACTGGTCACTAAAGACACTTTTCTCAAACCTGTTGACAGAAGACTGAGAAGAAAAAGGATTCTTGCATGATCCATAAGCGACAAAGCGCAAAAGCTTGAGAAACAGATAAGTTTTCAGTGAAAAAAAGGTATAATACTAGATAACTGACTTCAGACAATGTTTAACTAAATTACCATGATGGTAAGTGAAGGTTCAACTAAATTACCATGATGGTAAGTTTAGATCACATTATACAACAAGCCTAGGTGCACACAAGAGATTATCACTTCCAATTTCTCAAAATGGTTAAGCACTAAGAACAACTGTCTTAAGCATTTGATAGAAGTCTGAGAGAGGATTCATATATGATTCAAATTAACGAAGACCAAAAGCAAGAACGAGTATTCAGCATCCAAACTGATAAGGTTTTTCAAGAAGTTTCCTAAATCACGACGGTTAGCAATAAGAACAAGAACATGCCTGAAGTTGATTTCAAATTTCTCAATGGCTAGCGCTAATCAAGCAGGATACATGGCAAGGGAAGAGGATGAGCAAGTTATTATGTCCGCTAGAAATCAAGGGAAGAAACACTAGCGGCTCCAATTTCAGATTCTTCATATCCATTTTAAGCAATTAGAGCTGAGTGATGATTTCACACTCTTTAGACACTATTCGTGCAAAATCTTCAGTAACTACATTGATGAATATACGTACATCAGAATTACAACTATGAATTGGATAACTAAAAAACCAACTGCTTTCATATGTATGATGTCAACGAGAATTCTGATACTAATATCCCAGCACTTAGTAATATGGTCTCATTACTATCCAGATAAAGGCTGAAGAAGGAGAAAACTTACAAAAGAAACTTAAGCACATATGGTCAACAATCTTATTCTTAATGAAAACCTCCTCCAAGTATTTTACCAAACCAAATGTGGAAATGTGTTTATTAAACAATTCTAACTGTTTTGAAATAGCAACCAGAGAGAGAAGACAGGCAAGATGTTGATCAGATGAAATTTAGCTAAAATTAAAACCTTAAGAAAAAAATCCACATCAACTTTGATAACATTTTAAAGCTCCTTGAAAAAGCAACTGTAGAGCATTATATACTGACTGTAAATGGAATGGAAGTTTGAAATGGGTCCGTAAAAAAGAAACTAACCTGCAAAAGGCCCGACCATAACTTGCAGCTCTCAGTAAGGTTCTTTGGCGTGAGACATCAAATTCATGTCCAGCAGCATCTATGCAAGCCTCAACAGCCTGTGGCAACTTAGAGCGCACAGATCTTAGGTTTTCATCAGCCTGTTGATTATCACCATGTTAACAAGTTTTATCAGACTATAAATTGAGTACTTTGAGCTACTAAAAATAAATTACAGCCTAACAATGAAGGAATTACCAAACTTAGGAATAAAAGCAAACAAAACAGATACCTTAGCACTGTGTCTGTCGAAGTGATCCAAAGCATCATATAACAAAGCTCCGGGTTCGGTGCTTCCAATTTGGAAGATTGAGACCGTTGAATCAGGAACTCGTTGTAGGAATTCCATAGTTGAGTTAGAAAGGATTCTTACCCCATCACACTCTGAAATAAGTATAATTGGTTCATCATACATGTAGCGCACTGGATCGCCATTGGGGCCCACCATCAGAAGCATTTCATCCCAATAGAGCAACACACTGTCCAGTCCACACCAAGCAATTTGCTCCGGCGGCAATGTTGTCTGCATGATACATTGCACAAAGAAGAAATATTTCACATCTTGACATATATTAAAATTATATGTGCATATTACCCATGTCCTACACATAGTATGAAACTGTAATCAATCCGAAAGAACATGTTTTCTTCTGAAAGTTATTTACATGAACACCATATGTATTAAGAAAATGTTGATTTCGACAAAGCAGCATGCACAAATCTATCAAGTACTGCCTCTATAATCAATAAAGTGGAACACTAGAGTGCAAATTGCATTTATTTTATTTACCACTTTCAATCAAAGGAAATGGCAATGTGTGTGTGAGAGAGAGAATATGTTTCATCTTAAATCATGCCCATAGGCAAGTGCAACTTCCTGAAAATTGTAATATCTTGATTGTAAAGAGGAATGTAGAAATACCACTTAATATATTTCTAGTGTACGCATCGATATAATTGGGCCTATAACCTGCGGGGAGTTTCAGGTTATAGCTAAAGGTTTGTAAGTGATATTTCGGCCATGTCAGCCACAAAACTACTCCCAACATCTTGTCTTACAGTTGCACGTAGGAGAAGTCTTCACACTTGCCACATCAGAAACAAAACTACGTGCATAATCCTCTTAAGTGAATGAAATAATGTTTTATTGCAACTGTACCGCTTATAGACAACTTGAAACACAATTTGCAAGGTGCATGGCAGATGTTCCGTTGCTCTTATACAATGGTACATGCAGTGTTTTGAAGGCAATGTGCCTTAGCACATCAAGCGCTTAGGCGAGGTGATCTTCTAACTTAGTGTTTTGCGTATTGCCAGGAAACGAAGGTTACTAAGGCAAGCGCCTTTGGTACCTCAAGATCTCGCCTTAGCGCCTCATAACCTTGGCCCCTCAAGTGTGGCGCTCGCCCAAGGCATGTGACGCAAAGCGCATGGTGTCTGTCTTTGTTTCAAAATTTTGAGGGTGTGAAAGGTGTTCGATAAAGTAAAGTTTATTTTTGTTACTGAATTTCTATGTTTCTTCTTTCTTGATCAATTTTTTGCCTTTATCTTCTTGTAATGTACTTTATTACCTATATCATTTTGGGGACATGCTATAATTTGAACTTTAAAGTTCAAAGTTTACTGCTTAATAATCTGTGTTAGTAGGACTAGTCAATATTAGTATTAGTCAATACTACTATTTAGTATTGGTTACTTACTACTTCATTTAGATGATTTATAAATTATTAGATTTGTGACTTTGGAAATTTGGCGCTGATTAATTTGTCTTGTTGCTATTTATTGATATTTGCATCTAATTTATAATGTTTATTAACTTTTTGAATATTTATCACCTCGGTTCACTAAGGCAATCACCTTTGTTGGCACTCCTAACCTCAGACAACATAGGACCTCATCGCCTTGACCTCGCCTTTTGCTTTTAAAACGCTGGATGCATGATCATTATTTAGGAGGTGCGGGTCGGGGATGAGATGTTCCACTTCTCTTCCACAAAAATAGCTTTAAATTACATGACTAAAGCTATCCTGATCACAAATTGTCCATCCATGTTGTTTAGTGAGACTCCGTATTCCTCATAAATTCCTAGGCAAAAATTGGCATAGGAGCATTGCGCAAGGATTATTAATTTTTTTGTAAAGTTTTCTTAAAATTTTATATGAAGTCTTATTATTTCGACAGATAGTCATCCATTTGATGGGAAAAAATTGCATTATGGGAAGATCACATAGGTTCAAATTGTAAATATATTTCTTCTATCTCCCTATTTTGCATTCTTACGGTTCTTGCTTGGTTACAAGTTGTCAAAGATCCAAATTGAGGTGATTTAGGTTCTTTACTATTCTATAGGAAAGTTGCTTGTTTTTAAAAGATAGAGAACCAAAATTATATAACAGGTTCTCATAGAATTGTATAAAGGAGTATGAACGTAACCCATGACAACACCTAACTTTTAACACACAAAATGCTTCTTTTTTCATGCAAGTTTTTCTATATCTCACTAGGCTCAAAAATTATTGGCATGTCCGTTCGCTGTGTTGAATAACATTGTTTATCGGGGGATCTAGTAACATAATAATCATCATAGGAACCGCCAACAAACAATTCCACAAATGATAGGAGCATAAAACATACCTCACAAGTATACTCAAAAATGATTCTCGAAAAATCGGTCAACACCACAAGCAACCTCCCATCATGAGTAAACATAGCCAAATACTTCCCATTCTGCGAAACCGCCATCTTCTGAATCGGCCGCTGACGCCGCTAACGCCGCAACTGCTGAACACCCCTCTTCCTCAACCCGAACACATAATTCCCCACCCAAGCAAGCACCTCCAGCATTGCCCGACATCGTATACTGGGCGGCTCATAGCGCCACGCAAAATCGGGTACTCCTTCAATCACCCGCGAATCTGCATTTTTATCGGGGGCTTCGGTTGTCTTGAAGTCGTTGCAACGCAAGATCTGGTTCGCCTTCAGTAACACAAAGCCAACCCATTCCCGACAAAAGACACATTCAACAACGTTCTGCTCGAAGCACTGCTTTCCATAGAGAATTGAGGGCCGGACGAGCTCGCGCGTGGATATTGTAGCTGCTAGAACTGTGCCGTCTTGGAGGCGACGCAGATTAGGGTTGGTCGTCGGTCCACACGCGCGCCGACGGAGGGCGGCCGCCGGCGGTCCAGAGGGGGTGGAGGAGACGGAGCGCCGGCGGAGTTGAACGAATGAGGAGCTTGCGGCGAGCGACTCGGGCGTAGAGCTGGACGATCTTCGGAGTCGTCTCTAAATGGCGGCGATGCGCCGAGCACCGAAGGGAGCGGCAGGCGGGATGCGGTCGGGCGGAGAGGTCCATGGCGAGGGCCCGCTGAGGGAGTAAAGGCTCGGCTTGCCGGTAGTAGCGGTGAAGAGGAGTTGCCAGCTTCCGCGCGCACGGAGATGTGCCGCCGATGATTGTTGATGGGCGGTTGGCCGTTAGAAACCCTAGATCTCGATTTGTTGGAGGTTCAATTTAGGGGTTATGCGAAGATGAGAGAAAGGAGAGTTGAAAGTTTTGAGAAGAGAAGAGGGAAGATCTTTTTTCTTTTTTCTTTTTTTTAATCCACATTACATTTACTATTTACTATTAAGGGCTGCTTGTTTCCCTTAAAAAAAAGGAAATCAAAGAAATAGAAAACTACTTCTAAGGGCCTGTTTGGTTAGTTTCCTTTATTTTCCAAAACCCATTTTCTTTCATTTTCATCATTTTTCTTCACTTTCATCATTTTCCATCCTTCCAAATCTTCCACATTAACCAATAATATGGTGACAACTCATCTCATCTCATCTCATTTCTTACTTTTAAAAATAAACTAAACATAAGAAATGTGTCACATCAATCAACTCATCCAACTCACCTCATCCCATTTTTCTTCACTTTCTATCATCTTTAAAAATTACTCGCATCATCCAATAATATGGTGACAACTCATCTCATCTCATCTCATTAAAATTTTCCTTCCATCATTTTCCTCCAAAAAAACAAGGAAATTGATTTTCCTAAGTATGAGTCACATCATCCAATAATATAATGACAACTCATCTTCTCTCATCTATTTTCTTACTTTTATGAATGAACCAAACACAAGAAAAAAACCTAAACAAGGAAAGTGGATAAAAACATCAAAAATTACTCATCTCATCTAATAATATGGTGACAACTCATTTTCTCCCCCACTTTTTTTATAGCTTTGACAAACCAAACATCTGAAAGTGGGGGGAAATAGCAAAATTCACCTATATTAATTTTCTTTCCCCCACTTTCTGCATTTTTTTACGAAACAAACAGGCCCTAAGAAAAATTATTTTGTGAATGTTTGTGTTATAGAGTGTTCCCTGTTACTTACAAATATGTTATCCCGAGAATGAATCTAGTCGAGCCGGCGTCGCTCCCCAAAGACGACTCGAAAGGCGGACTCAGTCGGGCGAAAGATTGCTACTCAACAACAGGCCGACACTTCCTCCGGGGCGACTTAGAACATTACTTCCCAGCATTATTTTACCATCTATGATCATCATTACGACTCCACGTCACCCACAGACAAGCCTCAACGGCTGCTGATTCTTCATGCCACAGAAGTGACTCTATGTCACCCATAGACAAGCCTCAATGGCTGTTGATTCCCTATGCCACAGAAGTGACTCCACATCACCCGCTGACAAGCCTCAACGGCTGCTGATTCCCCATGTCGCTGAAGTGACCCGCCATCACTCATCAATCGACACGAATAGGGTAAAGGATGACTCAGCCTCCAGCTCACCTCTCGCCATCAACAGTTGTCGCCTCCTCACTAAATACCTGTTCTGTCCTTGGCATCCTCTATAAATACAGACGCTATTCATCCTGAAAAGAGGTTCGGTCTCTCCATCACTACCTAAAAAAATCTCTAGTTACATATTAGAGGGGGGTACTATTCCTCTATTGACCGGACCAAGCACACCAGCTGACTTGATCGTCGGAGGTACCACGAGGCAAACAAGCCCCGTACTCCCACGATTCTTGTGTGTGCAGGTGATCCGCTCACCAGAGCTCTGAGAACCAGGCATAAAGTTGAAGAAGGAAAGCGGCCCCAACATTCATCCTCTCATTCTTCCCCATCGTCGGTAGGATCGAAACTGCATCCGACTGCGGGAAAATCCTCATCGACTGTTTGTTCACGAGCATTAACAGTTTGGTTGGCTAAGGGTCTGTTTGGTTGATTTTCTAAAAACCAAGAAATAGAAATGAAAAGGTGGAAATCTCAAAAAGTACAATTTCATCCATTTTCATCCCTAAAATTCACCCACAACATCCAATAAAATATTATTTTTATCCAACAACTCATCCACAACATCTAATAAAATATTATTTTCATCCAACAACTCATCCATCATATCTAATAAAATATTATTTTCATCTAACAACTCATCCACCACATCTAATAAAATATTATTTTCATCCAACAATTCATCCACAACATCACTCAACTCATCTCATCTCATCCTTTTAAATCATTCACATCATCCAATAAGATGGTGACAACTCATCTCATCTCATTAATATTTCATTTCCACTCATTTCATCCCAAAAAGCTAGGAAAACGATTTCTTTAAGTGTGAGTCACATCATCCAATAATATAATGATAATTCATCCCATCTCATCTATTTTCTTATTTTTAAGAATGAACCAAACAAAAGAAAATAACCTATTACAAGAAATAAGCTTCTTATATTTCATTTCATTATTTTTTTTTGCCAACCAAAGAACATCAAAACAAGTTTTCTTAAAAAATCACTCACATCATCCTATAATAAGGTGACAACTAACATCATATCATCTCCATTTCTTTAATTTCCTTCTTCTTTTAGGGGCTGTTTGTTTGCCTAAAAAAAGAGGCAAATCATAGAAATGGAAAACTATTTCTAAGAAAAATTGTTTTGGGAATGTTTGGTTGGCTAAAAAAAAAAGGAAATCAAAGAAATGGAGATGAGATGATGTTAGTTGTCACCTTATTATAGGATGATATGAGTGATTTTTTAAGAAAAATTATTTTGATGTTGTTTGGTTGGTAAAAAAAATAAGGAAATGAATTATAAGAAACATATTTCTATATGTTTCTTATAATAGATTGTTTTCTTTTGTTTGGTTCATTCTTAAAAATAAGAAAATAGATGAGATGAGATGACTTGTCATTATATTATTGGATGATGTGACCCACACTTAGGGAAATCGTTTTCCTAGCTTTTTTGGAGGAAATGGATGGAAATAAAATGTTAATGAGATGAGATGAGTTGTCACCATCTTATTGGATAATGTGAATGATTTGAAATGATGAGATGAGATGAGTTGAATGATGTTGTAGATGAAAATAATATTTTATTAAGTGTGGTGGATGAGTTGTTGGGTAAAAATAATATTTTATTAGATGTGGTGGATGAGTTGTTGGATAAAAATATTTTTTTATTAGATGTGGTAGATGAGTTATTGGATGAAAATAATATTTTATTGGATGCTGTGGGTGAGTTTTAGGGATGGAAATTGATGAAATTATATTTTTTGAGATTTCCACTTTTTCATTTCCATTTCTTGGTTTTTAGGAAATAACCAAACAGACCATCGAATATATCTTGAAAGAATATTCGCTACCAGAATAAAACTTTTAGAGAAATTTCTCAAGAGAGAAGAAAAAAGCTATAGATTAGGGTTCAAGATCATGAACACTCGAGGAAGATCTAATGGATTATCGCAGCCTCCCTCTATCGAGGGCGTAGCTGCATGATGGCTGATGAGGAAAGTGAATTCTTAACAAAAATGACATCGCTCCTTATTTGTAATATTCAAGATTTTGAGTTATTTCGGAGGTTATTTACAAGAATTCAGTATCAGAAATTTAAATACGAAAGATTTGAGGGGTACATGAAACGAACCCGTTGTTTTCTTTTATGTATTTGCTTTTCGAACAATTTTTCACTTTAACCCTATTTAAATTTTTTATTATTAAAATCGACATTTTTTTCTTTTATTTACCAAAACCGACCCGATTTCTTGATTAGCGGCTTAATCACATTCCTAATTAGTCGAGGTTGCCAACCCCGACTATTTAGGATATTAATTTTTAGGGTTTAAGGCTTCTAATTAGGGTTTAAGACCCTCCTAAATAGTCGGGGTTGGCAACCCCGACTAATTAGGAATGTGATTAAGCCGCTAATTAAGAAATCGGGTCGGTTTTGATAAATAAAAGAAAAAATGGTCGATTTTAATAATAAAAAATTTTAAAAGGGCTAAAGTGAAAAATTATTCATTTGCTTTTCCCTCTATATACAATGTAAGGTGATATTTGTAATTTACTCTTTATTTCGGGGGCAATATGAAAGAGAGTAGATCGGATAAGACGCAGGGGCCTCCTCCATGGTTGAACTTCCCCGGTTGCCTCTTTATTCTCTCCCACTCGCCCCCTGAGCAGAAAACGGCCATGGCCACTATAATCCAAAGCTCCAAATGCTTCATGGGCCTAAATTCAACCAATGCTCAACGACCCATCACTTTCCCAGCATCTTATTCTTCTCTCAGCTTCAAAGGGAACACCAGCAGAAGCAGAACCAGCAAAATAATGGCCTTGGCTGCTGCAAAATCCAAGTACATCAGAGAGGACTATCTCATTGTATGAATCTCATCTCTTTTCTTATTTTATCTTTTGGGTGTTTGCTGGTTTTCGATTTTGATTTCGATTTTTGTTGTTTTTGCAGAAAAAAGTGTCGGCGAAGGAAGTGGAGGATATGGTGAAGGGAGAGAGGAGCGTTCCCCTTGTTGTGGATTTCTATGCTACTTGGTGTGGGCCGTGCATTCTCATGGCCCAAGAGCTCGAAACAGTAATTCTCTGGCTAGTTATGTCCTATTATTTGTTACATTGCTGGTTAAAAATTAGTCAAGTTTCAATTTTGGCAAGAGACCCATGTTTCTTTAGATTTTGATAGTCGAGTTATCTAATCAAAATTAGAACTTTTAGGAGGTATTATAGGCCAGTTTGAAGTTCGGCTTTAAATTCCACGATATGATTCTGGATGGATGCCTAGGGATGTAAATAGAGCATGGTTGACTCGTTGTAGGCTATTAGTCTTGCCGATGAATATTTATGAATGTTGAAAAAACGTGATGATGATGAAGAGTGGACTTTTAGTTTGGAGATTTGTGAGTTTAACCAGTGATTTTTTTGTGACGTTTTAAGTGAATCACAAGCCAATTATTGTCTTTGCCTGACATTTGGATTAATTTAAAAGACATGTTTTTCGGTATCAATCTGCTAAATTAAGGCTGCCGTCCACATGTTCTGTTGAGATCTAAGATCTATTCTTGTGCAAAAACATGAGAGGTACTGATGGCCATCCTTCTGTGCATTTCGTACAACTGGCTAGTAGCTACAATTGTTATGCACACTGGGTAATAGATTCTCATAAGAGACATTTTATGTGTTTGCAATTGTTGATAGTGATGTCTCTTCTGAGACTCCCTCGACGTGTTCTCTATATATTGCCTTCGTGGATGTAAAAACATGATTCTCAGTACTCAGAATGAACCATTTGCAGGAGATGGTGGGATTAGGGAGGACGTCTGCCATATAATTAAAGCGTGATTTTTAACATGGTTGTTGTCTCTGGAGTAATATCTGACCGTAGGATATCCATGAACTGTTGAATAAATTAAGCAGCTATATGGACAGATATACTAAAGGATGACCCTTACCATCTCCATTAGATATATCCATCTAATCTTTAAAGTGTCTGCTTGGTCTCTCTCAAAATTAAGAGTTTTAACTTGTTGCTGCTGCATTTGCCAAAATTTAGACAAATTGTATTGACTTTAGGTGTAAACACGTTGAGTTCTATCTATTTGTAGTGAAGTGTCTCTAGCAATAGCCAGGTTCTTAAGTAGCAACCTGTTCAAATTCTTCTTGATCGCTACCTCGTTTGGGGTTTGATCTGGGCATCTGCTCAAGTTGAACCTATGATCTTCCACATATATCTTATTAGCTATTTTGAATTAGAGATCATCTGAAATTATCATCCATTAACTGGTCCACAATCTCACAATTTACCCTTCTGCAAGACTGCAACTGGATTTCCTTTTGGAGATTACCCATTACACAGCATTATTATGGTTTTTCCACTCGTATTGTCTCTCCACAACCCGAACCGGCCCCGACCCTTCCCCCCCCGCCCGCCCCCCCTCCCCCCCCAACTCTAAAAAAAAAGAAAAAAAAAAAGAAAAAAAAGAACCACCAGCCAGAGAGATAAGATGCTCAGGTTTCAGAAGTATTTTTAAAGAAAGATTCATGGTTCCTCTACCAAATAGTTTCAACAATGCTTCATAATTGTTGCTACTATTTGGATAGCAAGACTTCACCAACTTAGGGACTCTGTTGAAGAAAAAGCAAATTTTCTTTCTTTTCTTTTAACAATGTCACAACTTAATATGACTTCTAACAAAGAACCTGAAACATTGAGTTACTTTGGCTTCTAATACCTGTTTTAGAAAGTCACATCCCGAAAAGCTTGTTGGTTATAAGAAAGTTGAATCACCTATACAAATTACTGAAGTAAATTTCATGGTTAAATTTGTGTTGAGTTAACTTGGTGCATCAAGAACGTCTTTGTTATTTTCTACAAAGCATCACTGCTTAACTGAAATCAAAAAGGAATTGATTGTCCAGTCAACTACCTACAGGAAATATGTACTAGTAGGATAAAAGAATTTGAATTTGGTGTGCACTAGCTATATATGCAGATATTTTACTATGTCTTGGATGTCTTATGATTAAAATATATACTATAATAAAAGGACCATGTAGTTTTTGGAGAATTATATTTAGATTATTAGATTGTGTTATCATTGTTGCTCAGAGAAAGCAGGAGGACAGGATGTAAATGTCATATGGTTTCTCAAAGTGAATCCTTGTTTGTTTAACACTGAAGAAGTGATGCAATATTGTGATTCACTTATTAATAAGATGATGAAACCATTGAGCCTTCATAAAGTCTCTAAGTAGTCTGAATTTGTTATATTATCTAAATGGAGACGTTTTCAGAAAAGAATGCTGTAAATATGCTTTGAAGTTTGAACAAAGGTCCCAAACGATCATATTGTTGGTTAAAATATGATATAGACTTATGCTTGCATCTCCCATATGTTGGAAGCATGCCTTGCATGCAGGCAGAACATACTTTGTAAAATAGCATTCTAATTTGAAGATTATTGGCAGCAAAAGTATGAATCTTGGTGTCTGATTTTTGTGGGTCCTAAATCATAATAAATATGACTTCTCTGATTCTTGTGGGTTAAAAATCAGAAAACAGTTTGTTTGGGTTCTGCAAAGAAATTTGTTGAAGATTAGCGTGAGACTTTTAATATATTTGGATGGTTATCTAGAGAAGTAGTTTTCCCTACTTCATTGTTTCTCTTTTCTTATTGATAATTAGTCTCTCCTTTGAGATTGTCTTCATTGGAGATATGGTGAGTTTATTGCACCCTTGCACTTAATTTAAGGATTCCAGAATGGCGGTCACGCTTAAGAATGCTGCTGTGAAATTATTTCATCTCCCCTGTCATGCTGTAAAAAATGTTTCGCTCTCCTAAGCATATTGAACTGCTTTATGTGATTGGGAGCATATAATTGTTGATATTTCCTACTTTTCATTTTCATGTTAAATGTGGTCTTCAAAGCCTTCTCTGTAGCTTGTTTTGGTGAGAACCGCTAATGCTCCATACTCCAGAAGCCGTGTTTCATTCTAATACTTGGAAAAGCGTTTTGACTCCCTATTTCTAGTTTTGGGGGTGCAGAGGAAATGATCTTATATTTTCAGTGCATTCGCATGCATAATGTTCATGATGATTTGCTGTCAGGGTCTCAGGAGACTAACGGATCATTAGTATGAGCTTTGTCATGTTTATTATGCCATGTTTATCATGTGTATCCTCTCACATTCCTCACTGCAAAAGAACTTGACCTCAGTATTTCTGGTATTGCTTTCAGTTATACATTTCTTATCTACTAAGATGTGTTTTTTTGCCAGCAACCTTATTTATATAACCTTATTTCTAGAGGCAGATATTGAGAACCAACATTATGATTATTCCAAACCAGTTAAAAATAATATTATTTACTCACATTTTATTGCCAAGACATATAGTTGTAGGCTCTCAGACTAGTTTATAGAGATTACTTAGCAAAAATCATATGCTAGCTGTTTTTTCTGGGTTGAAGAGTAGATAGTGCCCTGGTGAAACTTAGAAACTGATGCCAATGTTTCTTGCAGCTAGCTGTCGAGTATGAGAACAGTGTACACTTTGTCAAAGTAGATACTGATGATGAGTATGAATTCGCACGTGATATGCAGGTAAGAGGAAAATTACAGCTATTTTCTTGAGAAAACTTAGATTTTTCTCTCAGGAGCCTGCCGAATGTAAATGCTATATTACTGTAACTGTGACAGGTAAGGGGGCTACCGACACTGTATTTCATCAGCCCAGACCCAAATAAGGATGCAATCCGAACTGAAGGGCTGATTCCTCCAGAGATGATAAAGAACATTATTGACAATGAAATGTGATGGGGATGAGGCTCACATGTGTCAATTCAGTATCCAGGCTTATTAGTTTAAGTCATGCTTGTGATTATCTTCGAAGATCAATCGCACCAACAAATGCAGAAAGAAACTCCTACAACCTGTTTGAAGTTACGGGGTACACCAGTGACATCTAAAATTTTGTCTTGAATGTTCTCTTTCAGCGAACTAATGAAGCCGCATTTAGAATTTAGGCTTTAAGTTGAGGTGTATTTGTATTCATCTGATTTATTATAAAGTTTCTAGCATTCTCAAGCATTCTCTCATGAACGTTAGGAACAGAATTTCCTTAATCTTAAGCATCTTTCTTGGTTCTTGACTGTACACGGCTATTCTTTGGCGAGTCTTTTCCCATTGTTTCTTGCTCAACTATTGAGATTTCAACAGTGATAATTTGTACCATCCAAGAGGCTTCCCATGTCATGTAACTAGAGTCAATCATGCCGATATTTCAAAAGGTAAAGGATAAAAGGAGGTTCTGAAGGCGCACGAACATGAAAAAAAAGTAATAATTGAGAGAAAATTTATGAGCCAGTCTTTATCAAAGGGAGTAAAATGTGAAGCTACAAGTCTTTAGAGATGCTTCGGATGTCTTTATGCTATATTGTTAACTAATAATACGTTACCTTCAGTTTGAGTGTTACTTAGAATATTTAGCCAATTAGGCAAATCATTGTTGTTTCTTAATCTCTCTCTCTCTGATTTGACATGGGTTGTAATCCTCCAGCATCCTAATTGAAAAAGGCTGTAGAAGTTTCCACCTCCCTGTACAGGTCTTTTTCTTTGACACGAAACAAGCTGCTCCTCCATCGGTTTTCAAAGAGAAAGCAAAAGCTTATGAAATCTTGTGAAAGGATTTGCTTCCAATCTCCATTCATCTGACCTCTTTTGGTCTCAAACAGTTGTGCTTGCATGACCCACATGTGCTTTTGAGTCTTGACATTTTGCAATTAGTACACATGCTTTTATAATTATATGGTGGTTAAGAAAGGACCAAGCTCATGATTATCCTTCAATTCAACTCCTCTCTTTGTTATGAACTAATCATGAACAATGCTCAAAAAAGTTTTCGGTAAATTTCACAAACACCTCCGAGCTTATAAACCAGAGAACGCTCCTCTGAACTTTCAAAAGTAAACTAAACTCCTTAGGCGACAATAACGTGCAGATCAAAAACTCTAAAAATGAGACCTGATTATTGTTGTGTTGTCCTCCTACATGGATGTTCTTCATTCTAAATTTTCATCAGAAATCCTGATTTGTCATAATTGTAACAAATTACTCTACTTATTAATGCCATTTATCATATTTTCTAACAGTTTGAGTGATTTAGTATTATTTTGAAAGTTCAAGAATGTTTTCTTGGAGTTTCGAAGTTTTGAGGAAGTGTGCAAAATTCCCCAAAAATTCAGGAGGTTTTGTGAAAATTTCAACCATTTTCTTTCAAGCTAGCAATGATTATATTCTGACACGAGCATGTGACTTGTCAACTTCATCACCTGAAAGCTTTATCAGAATAAGAAAATTATTCAGAATTGGAAAATGTTAGCGATATCAATGCTAATTTGTTCTTAGAGAGGTAAGATTATATTGTTCAACCACTGAGGGAGCATATATATTGAAAGATCAAAGCCTAGTGGGGTTTTTTTTTTTTTTTTTTTGCAACCACTGAGGGAGCATATATATTGAAAGATCAAAGCCTAGTGGGGTTTTTTTTTTTTTTTTTTGAGCTGTACTATTCCACCATCACATAATTAGAGTTTCTAGAAATCAAGTGGATGGTGGCCCGCCCAATCCAAATCTATAGAATAGATATCAGTATATAATTGCATATATAAGCAAATCATGCATGGATTAGTTTTATTTATCTTCTTCATATTATTTATTCATGTCATGCTGTATGATTATACTCACAAAAGAACTTGGTGTGCACATAATTAGACTGTGTTCTCTAATTTAGTTTTCCTCTTTAAGCAAGTAGTACTATAAAAAAAATTAGGATGAAGAGACAATACAATGGGTTAAAAGTACGAAGTGTAGAGGAAAACAGATCAAAGCAGGATAAACTTATATTTCCTTTGTTTATCAGTGCTTTCAACTCTTGGTGGATGATGTTACAGTGGGAAAATTTTTCAGAGGTAGATAAAAGATAATGAACGTGCTTTCACTTTATTCCGATGCAACAGTAATTGATTTGATTGGCTTCCATGGATCATCTTTTTTTACTTTTTTTTTTCAAAAACAAATATGCTATTGATACTAGGTTAGGGTGAGCACATAACTTTGTTAAAGTAACACTTTGTTTGATAGTTTCCAATGTTCATGAGAAGAGCATCAGTCAGCAAGGATTCACAGAAACTTTATGAGCATGAAAATTAGCACACAAGTGAATAGACTTTATAGCTAATGTTACATGCTCCTTTCAAAACATTACCTTGTTCTGCTCATAAATTTAAGTTTTTGCATAGAGCACTTTTTGAATAAATTTCATAAAGCAGTTATCTGATATATTCTCCACAGCCGTCAACCGATGAAATACAATATTTAGCTCAGTAATTCCTCATCCAATAAACACAAACCTTAAGTTTGATCATGTACTTTTTCAATCATACAGGCACGTAATTACATAAAACAAGATTGCAAAATTGTTCAAAAAATTGTCAAGACCCAACCCCCCTTGTGCTCCACTAAAGGGGTCAATTGTAAACAAAAGTAACAGTATGCACCACAATCCTAACAAAAGAAAATATCTGAATCTGTCTGAATCTATACATTTCTGTTAATTGAAGTACATACAATAAGTTGTGGGGGACTAGCACACGGCATAATATACTTTTATGCACTTGTTCTCTGTGTTTCTAAGTTACATATTCTTCATAATCAGCAACCTTGATTTATAAAAGAGAGACTATGACATGTTGACATCAACGTTTCTCCTACCCTTTCCCATAGTAGCAAGTTGTTAGTAAGAAATGAACCAATCTTTTGGTTCTTTGAGGACAATAAAGGTGATCTCTGTATGGTAATTTGTAAGGGCAAGTGTTACGTAGTTTCTTACATCAACCTCAACATCAACATGATGATGTTTTTTCTTCTTCTATGACTTCATCAACTTAAAAGAATCTCAAGATCTAGAGGAGGGGATATATAATATTCAATTTTGATATTCATATAAATAGCAAAGTTAATAATATTGCATATGTATCAGACGATGAACAACATAGGTTCGGCTTGGAGTCTACTACATTCTGCACTCCATTTTTGTTTCTACAACACTACTTCAAACTTTTATTAAGAAATGCTCCGCAGTATTTAATGTGGCCTGCACTTTGCACCTAGTTTGTTAGATGTGTATGTTAGATGTGTCTGAATTTGGCATAATTCTGATTTAGCTGTGATTAATTTATTTATTCCACATGTACATTGAATTATTTAGTAATCTGGTTCCTACCTTTAAAGATAATTTAAGTAACATTTAAAACCTACATTTTTGGGAGTAATAGGATTCTGCGGGACTAAATTAAGCATGGCTTTTGATTATGGAAGGTCTTCTATTCAAGACTAAATAAATGTCTGAAATAGGAAGATAACCACCAATTGCATTGTAAACCGAAATCTGAACTTGGATTCGAATCGGGTTGCAAAAATAACCCGACCCACAGCCGTGGGTCGCACCGCCCTTAACCGCTTTCCGGTAGTTCGAATTATACAAAGACCAGTGACAAAAGGGGCCATCAAGTAACAGAATGCAATTCCATTTTCATTGCATCTCACCAACCATTTTGCACTCTCTTTTGTTTTTCCCACTCCTCTGACTAATCTCTACTTACAGTGGCCACCTTTTACTTCGTGCTCTCTGCAACTCCACAATCTCAACAAAAAGCTGAGCAAGGTTGGCCAAAAGTTTCAGTACTCTCTAATACTATACCCCACATCCAGTTCTGCCAATATATTCACCCCTCCAAAGCCTCTATCTCATCTTATTATAGCCTTAGCGCGCCTTTCTCCTTTTGTGATTCTTTTATTGGCTAACAAGCTACCTTATGATTGTTAATGTACCTTATGATTGTTAATGCTATCCTTTTGTTTGGAATGTTGGCTTACTGACATCAACACTCTTCTAAGAGTATTTCTTCCTAGAGTGGTTTCTTCTAAATTTTATTTTTTTGCTTTTTTATCTTTTATAGAAGCTCTGTTCACAGTTAGCAATTGTATTGAGAAATTTTGCTTTCCTTCAGAATGCTAGCTTCTCGACGAAAGAATACTTCAGTGTTATTGTCAGGTTTTGCGATTCTAGTGTTTCTTTCAGAACTAGTGGATTCATCAACAGAATCCCGAAGATCAGTTCATACCCACAAGATCACTCAACCACATTCTTCCAAGGTATTCTCTTTTTTCTTGGTTTTTTTAAAACTTTTTGAGAAAAAAAGGATGGTACTATTTTCTAGCAATCTTCAAGAGACTAAGTTACAAGTTAAGGTTTACAACATTTTGCATTGCTTTAGCTTGAATCTTTTATTCTAATTACGGTTCAGTTGTCATCATTGTTTGTGTTTCTGCTTGAGAAAATATTTACGTTTTTACATGAATCTCACTGCTTCTTATTAAGGTAAGTTATGCTAATTTTTCATACGTACCTCACAAAAGTCTTTTCTTTCAGGAACCTGAGAGAGATTTTCTTCATCTTAAGTTCTTTTTTTTCCGTGACAAAAAAAAAAAAAAAAACTATTTCCTTCTGATGTTTGCAGATAACCCCTCAGCTGTCCTTCCAAATAAAACTCCATGCTTTTCTGCTATGGGCTTCTGTTGGTTTCTTGATGCCTATTGGAATACTAGTAATCAGAATGTCACAAAGAGTTGAATGTGGTCAGAGACTTAAAATTCTCTTCTATTCTCATGTCATCCTTCAGGTTAATTTTCTCTCCTTTAATTACTTTCTGCAAAGCATCTAACTAACAAAACACTAAATAGTACTATTTCATTTAAAATATTGCCTACATTCAATAGCCTTTAAAGCTAGACATCTCATAATGATGACACTTTCAAGATTATTTAAAGTCAATTATTGCTTTATACTAAGCTGTACTTAGAGACTGATTATACCATTATGTTTACTTTTTTATTCTCTGAACTGACAGATAGTTTCAGTGCTGCTTGCTACTGCTGGAGCAGTTCTCTCAGTAAAGAATTTTGAGAACTCCTTCAACAACGCTCATCAAAGAATTGGGCTGGCATTCTATGCATTGCTATTGATTCAACCCTTGATTGGATTGTTTAGACCTCACAGGTAATTTGACTTCAAACCATACTCTTTCCTATGTTGTGCTTAGTGAAGCTCGAAAGACCAAATAGTGCACGACAAGACAACGAGAAAGATCAAAACCAAACACAACCACAAATCACAAATCACAGCAATACAATGAATTTACGTGGTTCGGCAAGTTGCCTACGTCTACGAGGCAAGGAGGGGGGAGTTCTTACTATTAGAGATGAAGAGAATTACAAATATGGTTACAAATCTCACGAAAAACTCTCAAACAAAGCTCTCTAGATCTCTCTCAAATCCTCCCACAAAGGATGTACAATACTCTCTCAAAAGTCTGCTCAAATCGTCCTTGCTTAACCCTATTAATCAGGTTTAGTGTTATATATCAACGCAAAACGAAACGGGTCAGAAAACAAAAGCCCAGGCTCAGACCCGAGTCACGGTCGACCGCACGGTTGACTAGACAGAATGACAGAAATTGGAAAAATCGATTACAGGGTCCGCGGTCGACCACACTTGACGCCGCGATCGACCAGACAGAAATCCGAAAATGCACCATGTAGTGTGCACGTTTGCCGGTCGATCGCAGCTGATCTCGTGGTCGACCGGCAAGCTGCCTGCTTGTTTCCTGCTTGTTTCTTGAGTTGTTCTTCGCCGTGTTCGTCACTTCTACATCCTATATATGTCAGGGTTAGTTACTGATAAACATCTCAAAATCTCATTACTTTTAAGATAGATATCATGGACCTAAACAATTACCTGTCTGATAAAGAAATTTGGTAAAACATCTCAATGTGATGATATTCACATCGTAATATATGACATTTTGACCTAAAAGATGTCTAGCAACCGGAAAAATTTGCAAAATAGTCCGTTTTTGTTAATTATTTAGCAAAATAGACCGTTTTGCTAAATAATTAGCAAAATAGACATCTTTTTGGCCAACAGGCCAAAAAGAGGTCTATTTTGTAAAACAGCACAGAAAACATACGAGACTACTAATCCCGTATGTTTTCTACGTCACTAATCCGTGATTAAGTTGGCTCTAAACATACGTGACTAGTAGTCCCGTATGTTTTCTGAATCTTGTTTTTCAAAATCGACCTTTTTTTTTTCCAAAAGATGTCTATTTTCTAATTATTTAGCAAAACGGCCTATTTTGCTAAATAATTAGCAAAAACGGACTATTTTGCACATTTTCCCAAAAGTAAATGGAAAGCAAAAGGTTAAGATAAACTACTCCGTTGTTAAAGTAGTTTCTCATGATTTCATATTTACAAGTCTTGTGTTGACATAGAAAGTGAAAACGTACCCAGGTAGATATTTAACTGAAATCAACCATGTATGTAACTAAAAAAGGTATTATTTTTCGAGTTCTAACTTTTCTTTTTCTTTTTTGGAACAGAGGAGTGAAAGTAAGAAGTTTATGGTACTTTGCGCATTGGCTTCTTGGAACTGGAATATGCATAGCTGGTATAATGAACATATACATTGGTTTACATGCTTACCATAAAAAGACGTCAAGAAGTGTAAAATTATGGACAATTCTCTTCACTATGGAGGTAGTAGCTTTTGCATTTATTTATTTGTTTCAAGATAGATGGGATTACATGAGAAAGCAAGGAGTCATTTTGGGCCAGGAGCAAATTGCACCCACTGACCATTCTACACCTCCAAGGATCAAAAGCCCAAAAGAATTAGGGGTGATGCTTCAAATGGTTGACTGAGGGAAAATAGTTAATTTGAGAGTACATTCTTCAGTTTTTGCCTTTTAGATGTACTTTTTATGAGATGGTTGTGATATGTATACCTTGAGAAATGTAATTTGTGATTAGATTGTACCCGAAGGTTGAATGTAAAAATTATTGGTTTCTCTTTTCGTTTTTTTACCATTATATAAGTATCAGAAATACCATAATCTATGTTTAACAAAGTAGTTAGTTTTTTCACATTCTCATAGACTCATAAAACTTCTTTCTGTAGGTTAGTCTGTATAATAACTGGGGTAAATTTCACAAAACCTCCAAAAAAAAGTTTGGGGTATTTCCCACGAAATCGCCAAACTTTTTCCAATAATAGTCTCCAAAATCATTCTTATTTTGATAGAAAACCCATAAATCTTCATACTCTGAATTAGTTCCTCAAATCTCCCCCCTGTTGGGGATGCACAACCCCCCTGATGCGATTTGAAAATAGAGATTTAGGAGAGAAGAGAGAAAATCAAACAATCTCAAACACACAAGATTTACGTGGTTCGCTTCTCAATGTGAGAAACTACGTCCACGGCCGCCGCAGGAGAAAAATTCACTAATTTTCGTCTTAATACATCATGCCCTAATCAACCCTTTTATAGACTTAAGGGTTTAACAACTAAAACAGGAAACAGATCAAAACACGTTAAAATTCGAAACTGGGCCAAAACCCGACTCCGGCCGACCGCCGCACCACGTGCGGCTTTGGGCGGTCGACCGCAGCGACATGCTCGGTCGACCGCGACGAAGACAGAACTCTGGCCTGCTCTCTGGACTTTGAGCGGTCGACCGCAGCGCCACATGCGGTCGACCGCGATGAGCTCCTGGCCTGTGCACCCAGCTGTGCACGACGTCGGTCGACCGCCGCGCCATTGCTGGTCGACCGCGATGCAGAAAACTGTCTCCTTCGTCGTTTTGCTTGAACTTCGTCGTCGTCGATCATGTTCCTCCTGTTCCAACTTTGTTCCTCCTTGTTAGACCCTAGAGGGGGGGTGATTAGGGTCTTAAGCTAATCTAATCCCAATTTATAGCAATTTAAAATTATGTTGATCAATTAGTTCTTGCAAGAGATAGATATGAATAATAAGATCAGTAAGAATGTGTACAAATAAAAATGAGACAAGCAAAACTCAAACACACAATATGTTCACGAGGTTCGGTCCCCACGACCTACGTCCCCGCTCCTCACCTCGAGGAGATATCCACTATCACACTCCGGTTTGGAAGCCGGAACTTCTACACACTCGGTTTACAAGTTCACCGAAAACTCTCACACTACACAATCACTCAACAATCACACTTTACACACTAAGTGTAGGAACCTAGCCCGTGTCCTCCTCCTCAAGTGCTCGATTACAACCTCTCCCTAGGTTCGTCAATCGACGCCACTCCTATTGGATTTGACCCCGTCTCTCTCTCCTCACACTTCTCTCGGTGTACAAGTGTATTACAAGTGATTCTCACAAACAAAAGTCAAATACAGTAATTTGTTCTCAATTGACAAGTGAGAACACAATGAAGCTCACACTCACTAAATCCCACACCACAACCCACAATATAATATGAGAATATAAAGCTCAATAAGTGTGTGTGATAATAGTGAATCAAACTCAATAAATAACTCAATGAATATAGCTAATCAAATGAAAGTGAAATAATAAGCTATATAGGAAAGAGTTTAGAAAACTTCTCAATGAACAAGAAGAGCTGAAGAAATGATGGTTCCAATAGGGTTTGAAGGCCACTTCTTGTTGTAGAAAAACTTCTCTTGAAAACAGATTGATGAAACAACTCTTAAACAGCTCTTAAACGCGATTAACAACTTGTTAAACAGCAAACTTGGATTTCTTGATTAATAGAGAAGAAGAGCAGCAATGGGGTATATATAGCACCCCATTACAACAGCTAAAAATAAGAAAAAGACCAAAAAGCCCATTTGAAAAACTAGCCGTTAGGCTCAGTTTGTCAACTCGTCGGTCGACCGGTACGGTCGACCGATTAGTTCAAAAACCCAGAGAAAACATGTTTTGAAGCAGGCGGTCGACCGACGTGAATTTCGGTCGACCGAATGGATATTTCGGTCGACCGACGGAAATTCCGGTCGACCGGAAAATACTCAAAGAAATTCTCAGAAAACAGACTACCGTCGGTCGACCGTATCGGTCGACCGAAATCTGATATGTGAAAAATGACAGGTTTTGGGTCAGTTTTGAGAATTCGTTAAAAATATCAATTCATATCCAAAAATAGTGAAACTTTGGGGAAGTTTATAAATGATGAAATGAACATGTTTGAAAAGGAATTTTTGGAAAAACGAATTTCGTTTGTGAAAACTACCTGTTTTTGAAAAATGATTAGAAAACCTGTATTTTTATGAAAGTGAAAGTTTGATATAGGACTTGTAAATATTCATATATATATTGTGCATATATTATATGTATATAATAAAGTATGAGAGAGCTGTAAACAAGAGATAAAGATATTTTAACAACGTTTAAAGAAAAATCATCTATATGATAGAAAATGGCAAAGATCGTGTTAAGTGTATATATATTGAGCTTAGATATAATCATACTTATATATGTAAGAAAATAAACAAATACCTAGGTAAATCCACGCAGATGAACTTGAATCTTTAACGCTGTGTTGAAATACCTGAAAAGAGAACATAAACACAAAACACTAGAAAACTTATTAGTAATAAATTGTTTGTCAAATCATCATCAAAACTATAGGGTCAACAATCTCCCCCTTTTTGATGATGGCAAACAATTTATACATGAATGTAAAGTATACACTGATAATCCACATATAACCCAAAACAAGAATAAATCATACATGACCATATATATAAAACACACATGATCATATATAACAGAATTAATTTGTAAGCTATATATGTGGTAGTTTTCTCCCCCTTTGACAACATCAAAAAGAGGGAAAAATGAAAGATAGGAGCAATGCTCCCCCTGCATATAAGCATAGATAATAGAAGTAAAGAAATTTATGTCAAAAACTCCCCCTGTCAAATAGACTAGATGACATACAGGAGCTAAACTGACAACGATCCACCAACCGTATGCATAATAAAAAATATGTAAGAAACAAAACATGGGTATTATCTTAACCATGCATTGATCACAAAATGAGAAACTGGCATAAGCATTTTACAAATCATCATTTAGGCATCACAAAAATGATAAACCATGCATTGATGCATAAAAAAG